TTACATAATTACATTTGAGTCCCTTGAGTATTTATATGAGATCTAAATACGGAGGCCCTAAGTAAGGTACAAACAAATTCTATATTATTATATTTTTCGATACGATAGGGTAATATTGTGGTAATAGTGTTGAATATAAAAAATGTACGATAAAATTTTGGTTCGGTACAATACCATGCCATTACTAATTGGCACAAAATCAATATGATACGGTTGGCAGTTCGGTTGGCACAATACTTCGATAATAAAATCCATCCCTAGTTGCAATGCAATGGGCTCCACTGTTTGGAAATCTTGGGTGACATGAGAGAGGTCAAATGGGTTATTGAATAAGCATTTGTTTTTAATTCTTTAAGAAACAACCCACTACGTCTATGTTTATGTGGGGTTTATCCCTTTTAAAAGCTTGGGATATTGTATATATGTGTTATATATGTACTTATATAAAAATTATTTGGATAATGTTTCTTTTTTGCTTAAAAGGGGGGATCGCGAGTATTCTGGAATTGATGTGGCGAGTCAGACTGAGGAGGGGGTTTAGGGCGTCGTCAGCGGGCTCGGTGAAATCGGTGGTCCAGAAGACCTCGGCCTCTTTGAGGTCCTCGTCGTCTGTGAGGGATGAAGGCAGAGAGAAGGAGAAGAGGCTGAGCAGCCGATCCGACAACAGCAATCGCTGGCTGCATAAGCTGCTGGAATCCATGGTTGGGATTTTTGAGGGGATAAAAAGGGGGGGGAAATGAGGAGATTTATGGGTTTTGATGCGGCAGAGGGACGCAAAGTTTGGTAGAAATTGAATAGAAGAAAAGAGAAGGAAGGAAGGGCACCTAAAAATGTTGGGGGTGGGAGTTGCTTTCGGGAAAAAAGAATGTGGTAGGCGATGTGGTGTTCCTCATTGGCGTGGAGATAGAGGAAGAGAGGGTAGTGGTGGGGTGGTGAAGGAAGGTTGGGGGAGCACGGGAAGAACCAAATGAGGGGTTGTAGGGGTGGGTCCCCCATTTAAAAAAAATTATTAAATAATTAATTTTATTTTTTTAGTTTTTATTATTTAATTATTTTTTTTATAGAAAGTGGGTCCCGCTTCAAGCCACGTCAGCATTTAACGGAAGAATTGACAGACAAACTGACAGAAGGTATGACATTGAAAAAATTCGTAAGATAATGTATGACATTGAAATGTTTTAAAGATGAGGTATGAAACTGTGGTTGACCTAATAGTTGAGGTTGTTTTATGTAATTTACCCTTAAAATAATTATTCAATGTTTATTTATATATTATAAAGAAAATTTAATTAATTTATATTATATACTACTTAAATTCGCCTAGTCCTACCTAGGTGCCTAAGCGCTAGGCTTCTGCCGTCGCCCGATTAGCATCTAGCGTATTTTAGAACCATGCTTATCCAAGTTGAAGGTGTGTTGACGAGAGGGTTAAGAAAGTGAATGTTTTTCTCAGGGGTGTGATAAGAGTTTCACGTAGAGCATTAGAGTTGGCCGAGTTCTCGCTCCAAAGCATGCTTTAAATGTCTGGTATGTTCAGCGAGTCTACGTCGAAAAAACACTTTAGGAGGTATGTATGAGGCTTCATCGTTTTCTTCATCTTCCTCTTCGACCGTACCTTCATGAGGTTCGAAATCCACGAGCCTCGTTTTCTTCTCAATAGACATTGCCGATAACTTCTGGTTGCCGAAAGTTATACCTCTCGACGCGCAGCGGGGCTTGGTGTGACGGCAACAGAATGATAATGTGCCTGTTCTACGCCGGTAGGCACAATTGCTTGGTTTCAAACATTTGATTTGTAAATGCCTGATTTGCAAATGATTTCCCCATCACTGTTTTCTTCTTGACAAAACAAGTTTATGTGGTCATGATCTTCATAGTTATCTTAGCACTAGTCTCACTAGGTGTGCTAAAATGTTGACTCTAAAAATTATAATGCCTACATGACCTACATGCTAAGTAATTATGAGCTAACTATGTCCTTCTTGTGAATGCGAGTGTGTCAACTCGCAACTAAGCTCGGTTGGGCATGTAAAATAGACGTGGTGGTAGTGTCGAATATGCTACTGACTTTTGAACTTGAGCAATTACAGCCAAGGAAGGAACACGTCTTGATCTTGAGTTCTAAAACTTGAGACAAGGTTGCTAGATCACTACAAAGTTCAATAACTTGTTCAACTTTCAGAAGCTTTGCCTCCAGTTGTTTGATTCTTTTGGGGAACTTTCACGGTAGACTTAGGAGATGCACCACTGAATCTCATATGTTTCTTCTTGTCTGATTTTGGAGATTCCTCAGTCTGAATCTAGCGAATCCCCTTCTGAACCTCTTCAGTGCTGATCTAGTCTGGATCAATGATTGGGGATTTGGAGCAATAATATCATTGCCATGATCCACAAGCTAAGTAAGAGAAGTTAATCACTTCCAGTTACAATGTTTAGAAGGAATTTAGAAGGCACGTTCTATCAACTCCTGACGATAAAGTCTAATGTTTTTCACATCGTTGTCTGGCCAAAGATTAGTCAAATAGGCGTTCTTAACTCGTACGCTAAAGATGCCACCCTTCCAATTTCCATCCATAACGAGGATGTCCTTGTACCAGTCTTTGTCTTGCCATGGAAGATTTGTTATGTACACCCACCATACAAGGTTGGGCCTTGGTTGGAATAAGTAGTAGTTGTCTGAACTTTTTCGCACATTATACAACATATAAAACTCTTAAAGCCCAAGGCAGCCTCAAACCATTTGTTCAACAATTCGAAGCAGGAAATGACTCTAAACCCTGCAGGAGCCAATTTCTTGAGAGTCATGTCATAACTGATTAAGTTTCCTTTTAGGAAAGCTGACAATGAAAGTTTTAACCATACGTCCAAGTGCTAAGGATGAATTCTGATACATGGATGTGGGGGATTAGAAGGTTTAGGTAAGTTGCCTGAGTGTTGTAACCAGACCAAACCTTCCATTCGTTAAGAAGGTTCCGAAGATGTTGTACAAAGGCTTCTCCTTCCTCCTTACTATGAACCCTAACCATTGAAAGGTCGTATTGAGAGTTGTAATTGGCAGTTAGGGCAGGAATGATGCTTGATGAAGCATATATACTTTGTGGATTAAAGAATTGAAAAAAAAAAGGTTGAAAGAGCAAAGGATTTTAGATGAGTAGAGAAGAAAATGTTCTGAACTTTTTCTTAAGCTACAGACTTAGGGATTTTGAAGAAGATGGAGAAGGAAATCCGATGATATTTTAATATCATCCTACCGTAGAATTAGGATCATCTCGCCTCGAGATCAACAAATTCGACGGCCGAATTTAATTGTGAAAGTAACGGACAGTCCCTCGTTCTCCGTGCACACAAAACTAAGACATCATCATCATTGTGATATTAATGGCACGTCTATCAAGACAAGATGCCTGAAAAACGTCTCGATTGCTTTGCGGCATTCAAAAGGTTGAATAACCATGCGTCAGAAGATTTGAAATAGTATGTATTCCAATTTACTTTGAAAGACATAAGCTTTAGATAACTATCCATCCTCAATGGGAATTTCAGATATATAGTTAGGGGCTATTGCGGGACGAGATTTTTCAAGGTCCAAGTAAGGTGGATCATAATACAAATACCTCAGAAGTCCGGTCATGTACTTAACAGTTCCCACAACCATTGTTCTAAAAATCCCCACCTAGCCCCGCCTAGGCGCTAAGCGGTTAGTCATTGCCCCGATTAGTCCATAGGCGTTTGAAAATTAAGAAAGTGCTCTTGGACATGCTTAGGCATTTGTCTAGCCTGCCTAGGCGCCCGCCTAGGTCTTGACTCTCAATTAGACAGAAAATCGATAGAGACTTGTTGAATACTTAGATGAACACTTATTATATGCTTGTTCCCTATGTTTTCAATATGTTATGTACTTTATAATATATGTCATTTTATTTTGCAATTTATGTATTCCAATATAATTATGTGTCTTTTTTTTAAGTATAAATAGACACTTATTTATACAATGCATAATAAATTTACTCAAATCAGCACAGTCCCCCTAGGCCCTCACCTAGCCGCCTAAGTGCTAGGCGCTAGGCCCTAGCCTGCTGCCCGACTAGCGCCTAACGTCTTTTAGAACCTTGCCCACAACGGAGCTACACAGACGGAGCAGCAATGCTACCATTATCTTGTTTGAAGTAGTGTGCGAAGTCTGATGACTTCGCTGAGATTGACCATGCTTGTTCCGCAAGACACGAAAACCTAGTCTAGTAAGGAATAAACAGGTTTCCTATATTCTTAGAATCCTTACAATATAAGGATTGGCATGCGCGGCAAGTAATTACACTTCTAAGATGATGCAATATTTACTTTTATCCTTTGGGATTCTCCTAGTTTAATACGGATTTCATATCCTAAAGGGCCTTTAGCTCTGGTAACTTAATTGTCACACACTTAATATTTTGCCTACTGCTTGAGTCTCAAATATTTGCTTACTAACTTGACTGTCGAAAAGCTTTTGGTCGGCACCCCCACCCCCCCTCCAGTCCTTGGTTACTTACGATTGCTTATTCCTTTACAGATTAACGAATTTGTGCATCATCATTCACACACGATGGTGTGCGACTTTGGTTTCAACAATTGGTAAGTCCATGCTCGGATTACTAGTCAAAACTAATTTTTCATTGTCAACAATAAATTCAGGAATCCAGATCTTCACCGGATCCTCTTTGTAAAGATCTCGGGGATCCGTCGTGTCCGTTCATCATACATCAAGCGGTCAGAAATTATTTTAAATATTTTTATTTAAAATTAAACACAAACAGTATTTGACAAAAACTAACCGCACGATATACAATGAACGGATAAGATTCACAGATCTCTAGGATCCTCACAAAAAAATCCGGAGAGAATCCTGTTGGTAAATTCAGCATCTAATGTTATTACACGTGTCATTATTTATAACCTTTAAATGAGATATTTGGTTGTCGGGTTAATAAATGTAACGATAGAGAATATTGACTATTTGGATGTAATGGGAAATGTGGCCTCTACCATGATATTTTTTTTTTTTTTTTTTGAAGGGAACCTCTACCATGATATTTTGAAACATTAACCGTTACACGGTTTAACTGAATAATGCTGACGGAAAAACATTTACCGTTATTCAGGCCATCTATCAAACGTTTGTGCTAAGAGTCACCAACAAATGCGACACGCCATTGATTACCTTAAGCATGACAGTGGCATTCAACATGAGCTCATGTGCATGAGCGCTGTAGTTACCTGGAGCCATGATGTTAATAAGCTCCTGCATCTGCATTGCACTACCAACGCTCATGACAAACGCATAATCCATCAACCAGACACAATCCAGCTGTTCATGCATTTGCCTTCAATCGCTATGTCAAGATTCAACGAGTCCGAATTCCCGCTCGTGTTTCTCTTGTTCTGACATGACTTCAAATTCGACCTCAACCTCACCTATTCTTGATATTCCTGCTTTTGCATCGAGCGGGAAGAAGAAGAATTGATAATCTGTTTGGATTCTGATGTTGATGATCTCAACTACAGCGAACGGACATAAACAGTTGCAACCCTGGAGGAAATGAATGAATGTATGGCTTATCTATGACAAAATATGAAATTATTTACTGAACAAAATTTCCTTTAGTAAAAATAGAGAAGTAGGAAAACCTACCAACATATCAAAAGAGCCTCCCTAGTTATTTTGGGGGTCAAATGAATAAACCTATGTTGAACTGAGGAGATTAGCAAAAGTAGACAAGTTGTACAAAAACAATGCAGGATCTGCTTCAAGTAACTTGAAGAATACAAATATGCTTTTAGCAAAGATTGATGTTAATATGTTGTTGGTGTAGCGTTGACTCGTGTAATATAAAACATTACCAAATCCAGGTATCAAGGAAGAATTGGAAGTTCCACCTTGTCAAAGGAAAATAAACTCACAATCCCCTGCTCCACATGACAAACCTTCACGGGAATGTTCCCGCATCGTCTCTCGAGGGCTTCTAGGTCTGCTTTGGATGGTGGATGACCCCTAAAAGAGAGAAGGCAAGCGTACATTTAAATATAATTACATGAGAACGAGACACTTATCGGATCATTCAATAATACAGAGAATTAGGAAAGAACTTTTTTTAAGAATGTTGAGTTCCAACAGATTTGTTCGGGCAAATGTTCAATTCCCACCACCTATTCATATTGGGTGAAGAATCTAAACTCTTCAAATATGATAAACAGGGATCCATTAAAACTTTCAAGATGGCAATATCTGTTAATTACTGTTAATTACTAAACATGTTTTTGTATTTATAAAGGAATTATATGTTCATACTCACAAAATATTAGTACTCATTTGGATGTGCTTTTAAAATGACTGAAAGCGCTTTTAAAAAAATTATTTTTGGGTTCTAAAAGCACTTGAAGTGCTTTCTGCAAGAAGCAAATAACTGGTGCTTCTTCCAATAAGCACTGCACTTTAAGTGCTTTTCCAGGATTTACTTGCATTTTTACTAAAGATTGGTTCTAAAAACATTTTCATCAAAAGCACCTTCAATCATTCTTTGGACTATTCAAATAGTAGGCATATCTGATGATAATGATTATCAATATCTAAAAGAAAAGGAAAAATGGCAGCTAATCACAAACAGAATCAACTTCGTTAAATTCTTACGATTTACCAAAATATGAATACCTGGTAAAGCAGAGCACAAAACTTGGGTCACCAGGAGAAGACTTCCTGAACTTGCTGTTTGGGAGATAAACATCAAAAACCAGCCTTACTTCATTAATTTGCATCTCATTGAACAATCCAATGACAGACCTAGACTCTTCTGAATCCAAGTCCACTGCCTCATCATGGTCACGGCAACCATAAGAAGAAACAGATTCATGATTACTCTTCACAATCTTCATAGACCAGGGGACACCATGCCGCCCAACAATGTAACCAAGAGATTTGAGTTGCTTATAAGCTTGAAATTCCTCCCAACTGCACCCGTGCTTTCCATTTGAAATCTTCACATACATGTCTTCCAAGGAAAGGCTAATATCACCATTATCCATGAGAAGCAAAGCCCCTATTTCAATCAAAAACCTTTAAAAGGACTGTTACAATTTGCTAACACTTCCATTTCAATGGGACAATGCACAAATTTCATGATCATTACCAGAATTCACATTTACATCATGCTGACAAGAGATGCTTTCAATTTGGTGAATTTACAACATCACTGGCTTGCCAATAGATGGCAAGGCAGTGATTGCCAAACATGTAAACGGCATTAGCTTTTGAAAAGGCTTTTGGCAGAGTCCCTAAGGCGGATGAGATTTATTCTAATGGTTTGAATTTTGTAATTTCCCATTCTATATTATTTTGTACCTTTTGAATCCCTGTCATTGAAGTTTTATCCTTAATATTAAATTGTGGTGTCAATCGGTTTGCTCTCTTTAGGTATTTGTTTTTTGGCACACAATACGGTGTTTAGGCAATTATGTGAAACTTATAGAAAATCATCTTCTAAAGGAACGATCAATGCTCCCGCAGTGATCAAGCATTTTTGCTCATTATTTGAGAAATAATCATACTCGTGTTGATGTGTTGATGCTGAGTAGTACATAAATCTTTTGAGGCTATTAACAGAAAAGATGCAAGTCCTTCGAATTTAATCTCAATCTTCTTTTTTTTTTCTTTTTTTTTTTTTTGATTGCTTATCATCATTTGTTTTATTTGTATAAAATTTGTTTCGTAGATCTCATAGGAGTTGTATCGACGGTTTGGAAAAATTTCAACGTCCGTCACAAATTTGATAAACTTTCATATTGTGGTCCCATACCAAGCAAATCGCTTTCCCAGACAGTTTTGGAATTTGACGAGATAAAAGAGATTGTTGTTTCACAACTAGTTACACTGCACCCCTTTACCAGACCATAATATGAAAATTTATCAAAACAGTTACACTGCATCCCTTTAAGACCAACCTTAAAACTTTCCCAAAACCCCAATATGGGGTCTATGAGTAATTCGAAGCAAATTATATACATATAAAACCAATAGTAATAGGCAATTAAAGAAAAACAATGAGAGATCAAGCTAGCATACATCTTTTCAGTTAATTATCTCAAGATTTCTACAATGTCAACATCACCATGAGCATAATTATTTCTCAAATGGTAACCAAGAAGACTTAACCAGTAAAGGAACAATGACCAGTTATTTGGGAGATAATTTTCTAAAAGTATTGCATAATTGGCTAAAAGACCTGTAGACTGCTAAAAAAATACCTAAGAGAGGAAATTGTATGACACCGTAATTTAATATTCAGGATAAAATTCAGTAACAAAGATTCAAAAATTACATAAAAATACAGAAAAGTGAAATTACAAAATTCGTTACATTCGCAAGGGCCCTACACCCCATGCATATGTTCTAATTTCTAAAATTGATCCAACAAAGTAACGTGCATAGGCCATGCCAGGTGTAGGAACCAGTACTACATACAACCCTAACATATTCCCTAATTTTGTTTCCAATCCGCATCAGAAACTTTCCCAAAAGCCTTTTCAATAGCTAATTTTCCGTTCACATATTTAGCAATCATTACCTTTTATTGGCAAGCCAGTAATGTGGTAAATGTCTTACAAGCTCAACATCAACTTCAATTCACCAAAACAAAACCATCACTTCCCAGGCTGATAGATGTGCAGCTCAACATTAGTTTCACTACATTTATTTAAATGTCCCATGTTTTGATAAATCTGCTGGTCAATTGAAGCTGGTATTAAAATACGCAGCCTAGACTTGTTCCTTTTCATTCAAATACCAATACCTTTTTAAATCTTGCATAAAATTATTGAAAGGAACAATTTCATAAGGTAACTATTAGGCTATCAAGGCATTGAAAGGCATATATTCAGCTACAAACAGCATGTCCAAAATCTAAGGCTTCTCGAAGCAGAAAGTAAGACAATGAAATGGAAGGAAATCAAGATTGTTATAGTTGGGTTACTTCAAGTCCAATCTATTATATTTTATGGTTTTACCTAAACAAAATCTTTCAGTGATTTGCATGAAACCCCGCATACATTACGACAACAATCAAAATTAAAATATAGTTTTTTCACTTACAAAACTTCCTCAATGGAGAAATAGAGCTTGCTACTACGAACAATTCCCGTGGTCCTCCAAATTGTACCCTTTTTATCTACAACCTCAGCCATGCCCGTCTCATCACTCCAGCGAGCCTTCAATGTCGCTTTCCTGAAAATAAAACTCAACATCAGAACTGTACATAAACAAGCTATTCTCTAACTTTTTCATAAAAGTTAATTAATTACCTGAATTGTGACTTGGAAGAAGACGCAGAAGCATAGTGATCTTCTTGTTCATCAATGTCATTGGATTTTTGTGAATAGGCCTCAATAACACCCTCTCCTAAATAATTCTCTCGGTCCGTGACCTCCATTATACCAAATTCCAACCCAGAAGTTTGTTTTTGAAGTATAATTCTGAGAAAATAACAGTTCTAGCACTTTAAGAATTAGCATCATTATACATATTGATCAACTGAAAAACAACAAATGCCTTCCCATTTAGTGTTATCAATCTAACATGAGGAGATTAAAAGAATTAATTGTCTATGGTACCTGACAGTTGCCAATGTTGCTATTGATGCCGTCGGCCGGTGAATCTTGGACGGCTGCCGGCGTGCAGGGGTTGACAGTCGACAAACCTGCGCCACCCACCCCAGCCGAGCAACCAACTCCAGACCCCGCTTAGAGTCTTCAATGTTTTGGAGATCCTTTCAAGTAATTAAAACTTCTTACCACATCCTTCCCTGCTGAAATCAAAAGGTAGGGAGACAAATATATACGTATACAGATAGAGAGAGAAAGTTTTTGGGGGACGGAGGAGGAGATAAACAAGGGTGGGAAGAGTAGATATAAACGCCAGGGGAGGGGTGGAGGGCGGGGTAAAGAGACTGAAAATGGTGGGGTGGAGGAAAACACAGCGCCGGGGCGAGACGGGGGAAGAGTGAGAGGAAAAAGGATTTTAGGTTTTCTTGGCGGATTTGGATCCCATCCGGATCCGGCACCTAACGTAACTTGGGAATTGGATCCTCTCATGAGCACAAGCTCAGGATACCGGTTCACGTGAACAGTTGGATTTTGATCCAACGATTACAAATAGAAGATCTCTTTAAAAATTATAATGATTGTAGCCGTTTAATCAAAATCCAATGGCTCACATGGGCTGGTCAGAGGATCCTGAGCTTGTGCTCAGGAAAGGATCCAATTCCCGTAACTTGACCGCACGATGTGTAATGAATTAATAAAATGTGAGATCTAAGATCCTCACCAAGAGAATTCGAAGAGCCTCATCCCTCTTTTGGCTAATATCGTCTTCTAAAACGTCCAAGTTTTGATATAGGAGCTATATTTTTTAATTTTTTTATTAAACGTTTGCTCTTTTTATGAATTTGATTAAACATTCTTCCTCCACCAATTAAGGTGCCACATATTTTATATGTAATACTTTTTAGAGATATTTTGATATAGGCGCCTCAGTTTTGAATTTTATAGATCAAACATCCATGTCTTCTAGTGATTTGATTAAACTTTTTTTTGTCATAATTTTGGTGCTATATGCACATTATATTGTAATAAATTTCCTATAATCTAGCATTTTGATTACACTCTCTACCGTTAGAGATAATTGTAAAAATAAAAAATAAAAAGTTAGATTGTTGTAGGCATAATTTACTGAATAATTATGGAGGCCAGAGAGAGAGTGAAGGTGAGGCAATAGTAGAGAGAAAGATAGATGTGTAATTGTGAATGTGTTCTATTCCACCTCATTATGCCTTTATTTATAGTAGTAGGATAGGTAAAAACATTTCCCTTTAGGATTACAACATTTAATAGGTAATCAACTCCTAATAGGAATATAAGAGGCATTCCAAGATATACTAGGATTTACAAAACCACATTCCTAATCTAATAGGACTGCAACACTCCCCCTTGAGTGTGTAAATACTCAAGTAAATAGCACATCAGGTCTTCAGTGATGAAGCAATATAGTTGATGAAGTCGTCGGCACAATGAGCGAATGCGAGTCTCAGATCAATGGAAGAATGCATAAAAAGTAAAACTCACAAAACCTCGCTATGGTAAAACCCAAGGTGGGAGAAAAACTCATAGTCTAAGGAGAAAAGTGAAAAGTTGCATTAAGTCAAAACTATACGTGTTTTGGATGCAAGTAGAATAGCTCACAAGGGTATGATCAGCCCAGGATGGGTGCCTCGTTAAAACCTAGTTAGGTAGCAAAAACTCAGTAGGAAAAGTGCTCCTAATCGTAGGGAAAAAGAGTACATTAAGATCAAGTGAGTATACTTCTGGATACTCCCCCTGAGTTTGACATAACTTCCAAATGAGAACTACAAGCATTGCATATGATAGTTAGGCATACCAATTCCTCGGACAAGCTTCTAGAAGGTTGACTTCGGCAATGATGTCGTGTAGAGGTCGGCAAGGTTGTTTGGGATTGGCTTGTATGACTTCAATCTCATGATGCTTTGCTGATGTAGATGTGGACGCAATATGTCTCGACATTGACTTCGTTGAAGTATCATGGCTTGGTATGGTTGATACATGCAACATAGTCTTCATGGATCGTCGTCAGGACTCAACGATGGATGAAAAACAACAAGTACTTCGAATATGCTCAACAAGAACTCCTAACCATGTCTCACTTATGGCGTAGTGAAGTGAGGTGAGTCTTGGAATGATTCGAAGATTTCGCAACTAAGGTCATATCGTGGACCTCCAAGATATTGCGATATCCCTAACGGTAAAGACATAACCATTTGGGGATTTTGCCTTGTGCGAGTTTGATAAGTAACCTGCGTCAGCATAACAAACAAGGCAAACATCATTTCGAGGATCAGGGGGGTTGGATCCGCTCGAGGCGTTGGGATTTGCCCATGTAGTACCTTCAGGGTACGTCTTTAATACCAATTCAGTGGTTACGTGTAAGCGCGGTGCTGCATCTTTACCAAGATCAACAACGAAAGAGATGTCATGTCTAAATACAATGAGTTATGTACAATAAAGCGCAAAGTTGAACTTTAGATATGGAATTTCGAATTCCATAATCTCTTCAAGGGTCTCATTTGCATATAACGTATGGATGATCATAGGTATACTTAAAGGTAACACATTTGGGGTGTAGTTCGACTAGTAGACCAAAATACCATCAGAACAATGCTTCAACTTCAAGTCAAGGCATAAATGAGTTTTCCCAAGATCCTTCATCTCAAATTCCATCTTCAGGTGCAAGGCAGTTTTCTCAAGCTCTTCTAGAGTCTTAGTGAGATTCGTGCCAACGACATAAACTGTAACTCTAGCAATTGGAATAAGACTTCATAGTTTAACACCCAAAGGCATAATTCATATCCCTGACTGATCATCACTTAGACGGGTATACCACATCCGTCGGATTGTAAGTGAACGCCTCAAACAAGTTAATAGGGTGTTCTGTATCTATATCCCCATGGAGAAAACACTAACCACATTTCATCATGTTGTTATCAATCACAGGACGTTTTGAGAGAAACCTTGCGTCGTAAGGCGTGCATCATATTGCATTATTTCATTCATCCCATAACGCTTCCTTTCCCACTGGTAACACAACAGGGTTATCTTGGGAAATGTAGGGACAACAGGTGCAATACACACTTTGGTAAAGAATTTGACCTGGATTGTAATTTCAATTGTCCAATCAGTTCTACATTGTCACTTAATCAACGGAACACGGTTTGATATCGTCGCTTTTCATTTATGTCGGTAGCTACCATATAAATGATAACATCATCGATGATAATCTCATTTCAATTCCATTTAGCTCATCCAAACTAGTATACTGGACCAAGAACTTTAAGTCTCGGGAGAAATCCGGATTAATAATGATTTGAGACAGCGATCGAGTTTAGATTCATTGTTGTGTCGTATCTAGGGAAGTGAATCTTACGAACCCAATGATATGTCGTGCTTCAGGTTAAGACAGATTGATTGGCTATCTGCCGGTGTACCAGACCGTCCAACAAGGGTGTTTAAACCGTCCAACAGGGACGACACACCCTCCAGGGATGTTGACTCTACGTCCATTAAGTACGTATATCCTTACAGGCATGTTTGCAGCTGGTATATAATCTCGTCACTTTAGTTAGATCAGAGGAATGCTTCTGGAGCAACATTCTGAAATCTAGAATTTTTTGCACTTGCTTATCATACTTATGCAGTATTGGGATCAAGATGAGACATAGTGGGCAACGTCCACGCAAATTCGCGCCATTCTCCAAGAACGTTGACGTTCTTATCTCCCCTTAATGGCGGGAAGACTGTCTCATTAAAGTGACAACCCGCAAATGAACAATAAAGAGATCACGTGCAAGGGCTCTAAGAGAGCTAAGGTGAAGGAGAATCATGATCGACAAAAGATGCATATCCTTTTTTTTTTAGGACCCATGGTGGTACGTTGCGGCGGCGCAACTTAGTGCATGGTGTCATGCCCCGATCCCGACATACGTCCAGGATCGACACGTGACGTTACCAAATACTTGTATATCTCACATACCCCATCTCCGGGATATGGCAAATCACAACTCGAAAATCAAATTGCAAAGTAATTTTTCGTTTACTTTATGGCTGCATCTAACCTCCTCGTTAGACTGCCTACATAACCTCAATAGGGATCAAGTCATTCGTAGTTCACTTATCACAAAATCAGACGTTTATTCCACTAAATTCAAGCAAAAAAGCATACCATTCCTCAATCATTTATTATAAACTGACAACATGTAATTCCTGGACTCATGCTACATAACCAACTCCCATGAAAACATGATTTCTCTCCTATCCAACATATAAATCATTATGTCTCATCATGATATCGTAATTCACAACATACATCATATTTAAGAACCGACGAAACACAAAACCATTCTCTAGCCGCATTAATTAATTAATTTGATCAAAGTAATAACAATTATTCTCATATCTTCTAAATTCATACCTTATGAAATCATAATCGAATCGTAGAAAATCTTGAAAGAGTCACTCAGACGTCCAACATCTTTTCTAACTCAATTGACAAGATTCTCGAAACCATTGACACAAATATGTATAAAACTAAGGCTAGAGTGACACAGTTAAGCCAAGCCTTCTCCAAATAATGGGTTTTTAGACTACTCCACAAAATTCAACAACCTCGGGTTACAGACCACTCAACGGAACCAAACTAAATATGATCGCCTATCAAATGTACCAAGTACAACTAATCATCATCACCTCTAGAATGTGTATGGTCCCCCATCGCGGATATACCAAGCGGAACCATAAGCATAATCTCATCGTGCAGGCAGTGATCACCCATCGCGGATATACCAAGCATGATCACCCATAACAGTCCCCCATCGCGGATATACCAATCAGGACTGTATCATATAGCTCTAGGTAGTGATCACCCATCGCGGATATACCAAGCATGATCACTCCTAGCATGTGTATGGTCCCCCATCGCGGATATACCAAGCAAGACCATCCATGTACCACTACTACATGGTGCAATCTCATCATCACACATTATACATAATTATACGCATACATGCTATCGACTCCCCGTATCAACCAGCATCTAGTCATATGGAGCACAACACAAGGAATTCCCTTAATTACTATTTCTACTAAAAACCTAATAAAGTACCTAACTCATCTCCTGACTTTCATCTCCATCTCATGCTAGGTAGTAATGCCAAGTTCAAATAGGTATTCAGTTGGCAATCATATCTAAATAATTATCAACAATATTTAGATCCCATAATTGTCATAACATTCATCATAATTATCAATCACATTATTAAAGAGATAATTAAACACATATATATCACAAACATCATCAGTACACAAGCCAAATCCTATTTAATAAGCATAGGTCTATGGCTAAATATATAAAAATCACATTTCAATAGAAATCATATTTATAAGACCAAATCATATTCACAAATGATACCAATATAAGAAATTAAGAT